TGTTGTTAAAATATTTGAATCCCACCACTGCTAATGTGTTTAAGAATTCAAACATTTTTACGTTTTCCATAAAATTAGATTACTTATTATTTCATTGAGTATTAGTGCTGAAACAAACTGTTGCCTAGTCAATAATCTGCAAATTAGCTGACTATAAAATCATAAATCAACTAAATCCTAGGTCACTAACAAAGTTCTTTTTCAGGTTGTACTAATTTTTTTTTGCTTTGGATGTAAAAAAAAGCATTTTACTTTATTTAACTTTTTCTTTAACTATCCATTCTGATGCCTCTTGCCAAGATCAACTTTATTTAGGCTATAACTAAAACATCTACTAACATAGTTAATTTATTGATATAATATCAAATATATGAAACCTCAGTGCTTATGTTACTAATGAATGAGACAAAGTAGATTTATCAAATTACTTAAATATTTACTTTTCTGAAGTTCTATCTTGGTAAAACATTTTTGTGCATTATATGTAATACAGCATTCAATTATATGGTTTAGTCATACCAAAGATAAGTATGAGTGAACATATTGTCTCATGTTTACTTGAGTTGATTATTCCATCACTATTCCATCACCAAGTATATATCAGAGGAATTAAAGCAAGTTGTTAGATATACATGACTGTATCATTTAAATTTAACATTAGAGTTATGATTTAGATAGTTATAAAGTTCAAGCATTAAATTTAGTATTTTTAGAAGTGATGATTTATAGCAGGTTTGCTTATATAACTGTTTACAAATCATTTGATGTGTAGTTAAATTGTCGAGAAGTGATGTCACATTACTTAACATGATTTTTTCTCGTTGCTTTAAGTGAGTATTGTTACATCATAATGTTACAATATATATATATACATATATAGGTGACTAAGTTAAGTTAAGTAAGTTATGAAAGTAAAAGTAAAGTTAGGCTGTGTATCAGTATCAGGTGATTTCTAAAGTGAGTTTCACAGCTTGTATTGTAATAACAGAGATTGAGGAGAATAATTTGTCTTTTCAAAGGGTGTTCCAAAGTAATTGTACCTGCCTGTGTGGACTTTTGCAAAAAAATAGACAATTAGTCAAAGCTCTGGATACAACTGTGATAACCAATAGTGTAACGAAGTTTTGTACATATGTTTGATTTGTTTTGAATATATATTTTAAAACAAGTGGATTGCGTACTGTCCGTTTATTGTTGAAATTTATCATCAAGTTACAGACATCTAAAGAATCCTGGCCCTGTAAAACCTGACACAAGTCAAGAAAATAACAAACTAGTATTACATTTAATGGCTGTGCATAAATATCAGTAAGAAATTATTATTATTATATGTACACAAATTTTGATTAGAATATTCCTCTCTCAGTGTCAATAGCAAACATCAGTATCTGCACACTGTCAATTCAGTTCATTTTCCCAATCACACACTATCTTTGGTTTTAGTACTGATCACTGCCTAGCCAATTAGAATCAACTGGTAAATACATTATGTTTCAAATTCTAATACAGAAATATTCTACCTATAAAGTTCTATTAACTATATCCTTACTAGTCAATTAAGTAAAATTTTAAAGAACAACTAGTAAACTAGAAACAATCAATAGTTGTTTTAGTACTAGTGTTAGTGTTATACATGTGTGTGTCCATAATTAATTACAAAAACATTTACAATGGAATAAATGTTATCATATGCTTAGTGAAGTGATTTCCCATTATTTTGGTCTAAGGAAACAATCCAAGTATAATGAAGAATTATCTACTGAATATGACAGCTGAGTATTAAGAAAAAAGGAAACATAATTGTAATTTTCAGCCTGCCTAATCTGAAAAGGTTACTATGCCAATGTTAATTTTTGGGTCAATCAGTATAAAATTTAGCTGAATTTCATATGGAAAATTAATCAA